ATCACAGAAAAGTCTCTCTTGTGTCGATACGACTTATTGTTTTTGAATAAAATTAATTTAAAATTTATGTTACACACCAATACAACATTCAAATAAATCAGAATTTACAGAATAATAAAAGCAAAAAATTCATATTTAATTAATCAACCTCAACAGTACATTACAGTAATAAAAATAACATAAATTAAATGAATTTGCCTAAATCTAAAGGAGTTGTTCAAAGTGACCACCATTTAGGTCAATGCATAACTAAAGAAACTAGAGCCAAAATCAAAATAGATAGGGTATTTTTTTACCCTAAACCCCACCAGTTTCGGACGCCCCTAATTAGAAATTTCGACATTTGATGTTTGAATTCGTTTAGGTGTATAAAGATTATCATCTGTACCAAATTTTGTAATTTTATCTTAAATGGTTTCTAAAATATTAGCAAAAACCTATTAGCCCCCTTTCAGGGGGTGTAGCTCCCTTACCAAGCATTTTTCGATACATGTTTATAGGAAACTTTTGTCTAAGAATTGATTATCCTATCACCTGTTTAAATTTGTAACAATAAAAACGGAACAACCTGTTTTTAAAATACCGTACAGGTACAGCTATTTACTGGATTTTAAAAATAATCATTTTTCAAGTTGTTTTAAAAAATAGGTATTAAAATAGCACTAACGACAGTTTTTCATCGGTCTATGACCAATTATTTTAGATTTCAGACTTTTTTCTTTCTCCGGTAATCTCATTAACTTTATGAACCCCTTATAAAACCTCGTACAATTTTGATAATTTCAAAGCATTCTTAATATGAAGTAGTCATTTCTATTACTTATTTAATGACATAATAGGCATTTAAAAAAATAAATTAAGAAAATAAAATAGTATTATAATGAACAAAGAAAAATAACAACAAATAATAAAAACAAAAACAAATTAAATATTACGTACGATAGCTAACAAAAGTTATTATTTTTTGTAAAAATATGCTTGTTTGCCTTAACAAAGAGACACTCTACAAGTTACACACTGAGACTACATAATGCAAGTATCAACGAAATAGAAAAAAAATCAGTGCCACCATTTATGACTTTTTCAATTGAGTACAGTGACGGACAGTGAATTTTGTCCAACCAATTTCCACGACAAACTAAAAGTGTAAATTAGTCTTTAGGTTTTTCTAACCTTGTTTGAGAACTTTGATGAACATTTATCATGTTGACAAAATGCCCGATATTCCTTACATTCTTTTTACTTGTGCTTTGTCTTACATTGCTTGAGGTATAGTACTAATCCATTTTTACATTGAAAATTTGGTCCAAAATGAATAAGAATTTAATTAAACTTGACAATGTCAGTTATCATGACAATAAAGCACAGGCTACACAAAAATTTTGTGGACGAAATGCACTGTCCATCACTGTACGTCATCAACTGATCAAATTTATCAACAAAGTTAATGTTGTTGTTGTAATTTTTTACAACATCAGGACATACCATTCAAAACTAAGAATAATACGAAATACAGTTAGTAAAAATGCAAAATTTTATCAATGTAATGTTAAGCGAAAGTGGTGACGTCACGAAGCCTACTATTCGAAATAGGACTGATAAACCCAAGGATCGAAATTCTAATCCCAATGAAAGAAATTTTTTTCGTTTTGTTTTTTCTTCTTTGTATTTATAATAATCATTATCCATTATGTGTATATTCTCAAAAAACAATTTTTTTTAAGTTAAAATAACTATTATAAAAATGTAAGTATTTCAAACTAATTAATAAATTGTATAGTTTTCATAATACTTTTAAGTTCATTGATGGAAATAAAAAATGTGGTAAACTTTACAAAAATAACGTCTGTATTATTAAAAATATTACCATTAATGAGCAAAACTGCTCAAAAATATAAATTAAGGTGAGTTAAAAAGGGGGGTTAAATTTTAACCCACCGTACCAATTCGGCCAAAAATGTAGTAAATGTAGTGGGTTAAACTTTAACTAAAATTGAAAACAGTTAAAAAAATAAGCCTTGTAAAAATGAGACACCGTAGCTGGCGAAAGTGTGTAAAAATGTAAAAAATATTCTTGTTATCTTGAAAGTGGATATTGCAGTAATTGAAAACCGATCTGGTCCTTAATTACACGTTACTTGTACCTATTTACTCCCTCATGATCGCAGTCAGCTGAGCGTGAAACAATGATCATCCTCTTCGTATCAAATCACCCATGATCAGTGACGCGAGGCGTAATGTAATCCTACAGGACCACACCTGATCCAGTAGGCTATCGTGACTCACGTGTCAAATGTCATTAATGTCACTCCACTGTATATCGTAGTAGGCGCGTTATCAGTTTTTTGTTCCATGGACGTACGTCGACGTTTAACATAACAAAAATTTAACGATTCGGAAGGGTAGTTGCCTTGATGATAATCCTTTAGTAATCGAGTGTGCATGGCCAATCGATCATTTTTTACGTTGGGAAAATGTGATGTATCATCGCTGGTTGAGAAAAACGGAGTTTGGGGGACAAAAAAGCGCTTTTTTAATGACTATAGTGATTTATTTAAGTCTGGCCAAAGTCGCCTGTGACTTAATAAAAAATAAAATTAAGTTGGCAATATTGGAAACCGTAGAAACAGTGTCATTTCCATATCCATTTTTTTTATGGCAACCTACATTTTTATCACATTTTTCCTTTACTAAATGCTTTAATTAAATGACCAAACTTTAAAAAATCTTGTTTTTTATTGACAATTTTAACAGATCACTGACAGGTGGTACTGATGATACTATTAAAGACATACGTTCATAAAATCTTCAGAGCACTCTTGATAAAATAAAAAAGAAAGAAACAAAAAAAAACAATAAAAAAGAAATCAAGAAACTTATTACAGTAGAACTCCGTTATGGTGAGTAAAAACTGATGCGTCATCGTGTTAGATGTTAAAATTAAATATTTCTAATTACATATTAACACATGTTTTGAAGTTTCTTTACTTTTTTTTGTATTTGTTATGTTGTTTTTTTGTTTATTAAAGATTTTTTCCTTAACTTACGATTATTGATTATCCCAAATTTTAAATATGGGCCTAATTTGGGGCTAGGAGGTTCCAAAAAAGGTCCTTTGTAATATATTATGTTAAAAACATGTAGAAAAATTAACAAAACAGGCATTTTTGTCGTACACATTGTTAAACAAAAGTTCAAGTTACAATTTCGATAATAAATCCCAACCTTTGCATATTTCAAAAAAAAATAAATAAATAAAAATCCTAAAAATTAAGTGGGCCTTATTTAGCTAAGTTACCTTACTATTTTTGTAAATATGTTTGTTTTTTCTTTAAAAACAAAACAAAACAAAACAGTCGTCTATAACGAGCAAAACTCTTGAATTATCGTTATAGCGAAGTTATACTGTACTAATTTGTCTATTTTTTTCAAGTTTTTGTTTTCGCTGTTTTTAGAAAATTTTAACGAACAAATATTTGTAATATTACAATCATCGTCAAACAAAAAAATAATTCTCCATAAAAAAAATTAAAGAATTATAAGGATTTTTAATCTAGCAATTTTTCAAAGATTTTTTGACCTAGTATTCTTTAAAACGAAAACTGTCTATCGTTTGCTCTCTACAGCGTGGTCCAGAAGTCTGAAAACGTTTTTTTTTTTGACGAAACTATTAATTTTTTTGTCAAAAAATTTTTGTAGGTACAATGGCTATAAAAATGGTATTCAAAAAAAAATGAATATCAATTAATTGTTTATACTTACGAGATAAACATACTAACAATTTTTTTCTAGACAACGAGCTTGGGACAATAATTGTTGCTGTGCAATATTGTTTTTTCTAAACGTAACATTTTTTGTTAAAAAAATGTTTGACTTACAAGTATTAAAGATTTTATTTTAAAACTACCAGTTTTTTTTGAAATAAATTGATGAATGTTTAAAGGTTGTAAAGATGCGATGCCAAAATATTTTTTATTTTAATTAATTGTTTAAACTACCACCCCTTGGCCGGTGGAAAAAAGTTTTGACAACAGAGAAAGTTTATAATTTTTTTAATATAAATTGTAACATTTTCAATAAATATTTTTGTACATTTATAAAATGTATAAACATATCTTTGTAAAATGATAAATAAAAAAACAGTTTTATTAAAGAAAAAAATGGTAATCTCAATAAATTAAAATAAAAAATATTTTGGCCTCGCCTCTTTACAACCTTTAAACATTCATTCAAAACAAACTGGTAGTTTACTTAAAAAAAAATCTTTAATACTTGTGAATCAAATATTTTTTTTATCAATATTTTGCACGTTGTCGAGAAAAAAAATTGTGATTGTTTTCTATTAAAAAAAAATTGTTACTATGTTTATCTCGTAAGTACAAACAATTAATTGATTTTTTAAATAGGATTTTTATGGTCATTGCAAGCAACCCTATAGATTTATTTGCCAAAAAAAGATAGTTTCGCTAGAAAAAAATCGTTTCGAGACTTCTGGGCCACTGTATAATTCTGGTTCAGGTTCTTCTGTATGATTTTTTCAATTTTACTGCAAAAAATTACTTACCACCAGAATTTTTTCGAGTGAAAAACTTCACTTGTGTCCTATTTTGAATGAGTAAACGCTTTGAATTCAATCGTGTCAATTTATTCAAGCAGGTGTACAGCCTCCCGCATGCAAATCGCATCAACACGAATTAATTATCCGTTGATTAAATCCGCAGTTAAAACATCTGTTGGCCAGTATATCACGTACACAAGTGTCAAAGCGTGTTCATAAAGACGTGCCACGTGATATCGCAACACTTTCATTACTCTTGTATATTATGTAGATTAGGGCCGAAAATCGCTTGAAAAAGGGGGGCGACCATTATGCAAACTACACTTGTCGCTAATGTTAGATAATAGAAAAGGGCGGGATACGTTAATTATTCAGCGATAACGCGATTTGCATTATTTAAAAATGTGTCAGAGGGTCACAGTTCAAATTAAAACGTCACCGATATTAATAATCACTTTTTTATTATAAATCATGTTACAATAGTTTGGTATATTATTACCACTAGTGTGGGTAAAAAAGAGGTTAATTCTGCCATCAGGACTCGAAAAAACAAATTAAAAAACAAATAAATGGCACAAAACATGTTAAAACAGGCAAGAAAAAATCGTCGCACCATCTCATCATCTAAATAAATAATCTAAAACTACCTTTTAGTAACTTCGTTAAGTATCATAACCGTTAGTGCAACTTGGACGGAATTCTAAGACTCGATCACAATGTTAAAATTTCGAGACCATTCTTGCAGTCATGGACGCCCTGGGGACTCAAACACTCCGGTGTTGGTGAGTCAACTTGGGCTTTCGTCAGTCGAAAGTGTTTTGGATTAAAGTACTGATTTCGCGGAACGTGGACCCCACTGAACCGGGCATCGATTGTTTCTTCACGAGAAAAGTTCGCAGATTTTGCAAGACTTCGTGGCACTTGACCGATTTGTTGTAGCGCTCCTCGCGAGGGATGTCAACGCCGAAGCTGCCCACGGGGGCTTGAACGTTGCTCTTGATCACCGGACCAAAATGCTTCAGGATGAGTTTGAGGGTGTTGCAACCCGTCGTCACGTAGCTGAAACAGAAAGTGACGCCAAATCAGAGGTTTTTTGGGACTGGAGTGGCGAGAAGTCTCGTCTGTCACGAAAAATCGCATAAACAACGAAAGCTTAAAAAAATAACCAAAAAAAAAATTTCAAAAAAATTGAAATTTCAAAAAATACTATAATTGTTTCAAATAAACATAAAAATTGCATTCTAATAAAGATCTGTAGCTAGTACAAGAAGAAGCTCTTCAATTTAAGCATTTTAATTAAAAATAAAAAATATTTTCAAAAAAAAACACTAAAATCTTCAAATAATCTCAAGTAATATACAGGCATTCCCAAAGCTCCGTATTTCTTCGATTACTCTGACAGTAAAGAAGATAACGAAAGGTTAAAAAATTAAACAAAAAAAAAAGGTTAAAAAAAAATGAATAACTCAAATTGAAATTACAAAAAATACTATAACTGTTTCACATAAACATAAAAATTGCATTCTTCTGTACCCAGTACAAGAAGCAACTCTTCAATTTAAACATTTTAATTAAAAATAAAAAATATTTTGAAAAAAAACACTAAAATCTTCAAATAATCTCAAGTAATATACAGGCTGTCCCAGAGCTCCGTATTTCTTCGATTACTCTGACAGTAAAGAAGATAACGAAAGGTTAAAAAATTAAACAAAAAAAGGTTAAAAAAAATGAAAAAATCAAATTGAAATTACAAAAAATACTATAACTGTTTCACATAAACATAAAAATTGCATTCTTATAAAGGTCTGTAGCCAGTACAGTTGAAGACAAAATACTTTGGTCGTCAATGTCACTTGGGTGACATTAAATTGTAAAGCATGTTTTAGGACTGTTAACCTTATTTTTAGCTACTTCAATCATAGTTGACAAGTTGTACATATTTTTGATAGAAAGATATAATAACTGTCATTAATTTGAAATTGTCATTCATTAAAGCTTGAATTACATTAAAGTGTCAGAAATGTGACTGTACAAGAAGCAACTCTTCAATTCAAGCATTTTAATTAAAAATAAAAAATATTTTGAAAAAAACACTAAAATCTTCAAAAAATCTCAAGTAATATACAGACAGGCATTCCCAAAGCTCCGTATTTCTTCGATTACTCTGGCAGTAAAGAAGATAACAAAATGCGGTTTCTTTTGGACGATAGACATTCATTTTTCCTATGGTCCAAAAATATTTTCGTCATTATAGGTAAATTCTATATAGGGTGGCGCAACAAAGTTATATTTTTTCTTATGGATCACCCGGTATATTATGCGATTATTTGAAAGAGTTTTCAATTCTAAGAATATCCATATTAGGTTTTATGTGTCTATCATAGACCGTTTATCATTTATGGGCAATTTTATGAAAAAAAAGTACCATTTTTGAAAAATCACAACGGCTTTGCTAGAAAGAAAATGTGAATAAAAACAATTTCAACCATTTTTATTGAGTCTGGTCCTATATTATTATGGTTGAAATTCGATTAATCTTTTGCAACTACTGCAGAGTGTTGACATTCGCAAAATATCAAGTAACTTGATTTTTTCAAACAAAACACCCTGTATGTTATTACTTTATCGTGTAGAGCTTTTAATAAGCTTTCTAAAAAACCTAGGGTTTGTAGGTCTAAACTTTAGCTGTTTTAGTGTATACCCTACAAAATTTTAACTTATCCTATCCCCGCAAACCTACTTGATTTTTAACGCTAAATAGAATAATTTAAAATTTTGTAGGTTTAAAAAGGTGTAGAATAAAACAGGTAAGGTTTAGACTTCCAAACCTTATGTTTTTTAGAAAGCTTATTAAAAGCTATACACGATGAAGTAATAACATACAGGGTGTTTCATTTGAAAAAATCAAGATAATTGATATTTTGCGAATGTCAACGCTCTGAAGTAGTTGCAAAAGATTTGATTGAATTTCTACCATAATAATTTAGGACCAGACTCAGTAAAAATGGTTGCAATAGTTTTTATTCACTTTTTCTTTCTAGCAAAGCCGTTGTTATTTTTCAAAAATGGTCCTTTTTTTTCATAAAACTGTCCATAAATGATAAACTTTGTTGCGCCACCCTATATAGGAATTACCTACAATGACAAAAATATTTTTGGACCATAGAAAAAATCAATGTTTATCGTCCAAAAAAAAACGCATTTCGTTATCTTCTTTACTGTCAAAGCAATCGAAAAAATACGAAGCTTTGGGACACCCTGTATTTGAAAATCTTGTTAAACTCATTACAATAGATGTCCCAACCTTCATTAAACTCGAAACAAAATAACTAAACAAATCATTCTAAAAGCCAACTTATAAACAAAATAAGTTTATTAATTGCTTTGATTAGACTTCAGCGCGTTCTATAACGTGACTATAATATCTCTGTCTTTGTCAAGCAACAGCAATTCCTAGATTTGCTTTCTTTCTCTAATGGTTGGAATAAATCGCCTGAATTAGTCTCTTTTGCAGATTTTAAAAATTTAAATCCTAATTATTATCTACTTTATTGAAAACAAAAGTTTTATCATTTCTAGGCATTTCTCTTTTTTCTAGCTACTTTTTTAACTCAATTTGCTTCTTTACTGCCATGAAGACGATTTTTTTTCCATTATTGATACACCAAAATCTTGTAGTTTTGAGTAATTCTCAGTTAAGAAGTAATAATTTTATGGCATTTTGAAATTTTTACAATCCTTAGTCATTGTTAAAAAACAAATTTTTGTAAATATGTATTTTATTTATTATCTGCAATTTTTATTGCTGATGCAAAAAATTACATCAATTTATTTCTATCAAGTAAGGTTATTGAGTATTAAAAAAACTATAAAATTAAAAAGACGACACAAAACGCAAAATACAGTCGCGTACTAAAGATTTTTTCATGCATTTCCTTTCCTTTATGCATAATACAGAATGTTCCGTTTTTATTGTTACAAATTTAAACAGGTGATAGAATATTCAATTCTAAGACAAAAGTTTCCTATAAACATGTATCGAAAAATGCTTGGTAAGAGAGCTACACCCCCTAAAAGGAGGCTAATAGATTTTTGCTAATATTTCAGAAACCATTTAAGATAAAATTACAAAATTTGGTACAGATTATAATATTTATACATCTAAACGAATTCAAACATCAAATGTCAAAATTTTTAATCAGGGGCGTCCGAAACTGGTGGGGTTTAGAGTAAAAAAATACCATATCTATTTTGGCTTTAGTTTCTTTAGTTATGCATTTACCAAAATGGTGGTCACTTTGAACAACTCCTTTAGATTTAGGCAAATTGATTTAATTAATGTTATTGTTGTTACTGTAATGTAATGTTAATTAGTTGAGGTTGACTAAAAAATTTGAATTTCTTGCTTTTATTATTATGTAAATTCTGATTTATTTGAATGTTGTATTCGTGTGTAACATAAATTTTAAATTAATTTTATTCAAAATCAATAGGTCGTATCGACACAAGAGAGACTTTTCTGTGATAAACTATCGAACTTAAGATTTTGTTGCTGAAAGTACCGAGAAACTAAAGCCAAAATAAATAAGATATTTTTTTACCTTAAACTCCCCCAGTTTCGTACGCCCCTGATTAAAAATTAACATTTGATGTTTGAATTCGTTTAGGTGTATAAAGGTTATCATCTGTACCAAATTTTGTAATTTTATCTTAAATGGTTTCTGAAACATTTGCAAAAACATATTAGCCCCCTTCCAAGAGGTGTAGCTCCCTTACCAAGCATTTTTCGATACATGTTTATAGGAAACTTTTGTCTTAGAATTGAATATCCTATCACTTGTTTAAATTTGTAACAATAAAAACGGAACACCCTGTATACTATTTATGGTTGACATTACTTGATATATGCCAGAAATACATAGAAATTAAAATTAAAATCAGCGAGAATGTTTCCAATAGACACAAAAAAAATTACAGATCTTTCTAGTTAACAGTTTGAGAGGCAATTAATTGGTTTTGATTGTGATTTCTACACTTTTTTAGTGTTTAACACACTTAAATAAATTATTGTACATAAAAAAATTAAACTTAATTACAACAGAAACTACGTAAAAGATCTTTTCTACCACCCTAATTACAGAGAGGAAAGTAGCCAATTACGTCCTTCATCTGTAAAAATTACAATAAAAACATATGTAACCTCGTAAGGAGATAAAAATTTTACTTCCCCCACAGAAACGGAAAAATTATAGGTATTACACTGTAGGAAAGTTTCTTTTCCTCCCTGCGTAGAAACTTGAAAACGTACACTTTCCTCCCTTGTAATACAAATAACAATTAAATGATTTTCCCGTAATCAGTACATGAAAAATTAAATAAATCACTATTGACTTTACACCAATCATTTTTCTGTAGATACTTGAGTTATTTTTATTGTACTTACTTTGTATTAGAATTTATAATTTATAGATTTTTAAGTTATTTTACCTGAAATTGTTTTTCACACATCCTCTTTTTATTTTTATTTTAATTTTATGTTCAGATTAAACGAATCTTCAAAATAAATTTCACATTGAGACGACAAAAAGTGCTTTACAGTTAAATACAAAAAATGTTCTTCAAAAATCACCAATTAATAGTTTTTATAACTAGTACAAGTTTCATATACAGATGGTTCGGTCCAAGTCGCCCCGGCCGATAACACCTAAACTTACTTTTTTTTTTCAAAAACTAAATTTTTAAATAATACTATTCATTCCTCGCTTTCTTAGTAAATGCATCAAATTTTTTTGGCACATCCGGTGTAGCCGGAAATGCTACCAAATTTAGTTTTTCAAATGGAACACCTATGTTTTTTTGCTCAAAACAATAATAATTGGTATGAAAAATACTGTAAACCACTATTTATTACATTTTCCTTTACATAATGCACTCAGAAAACAATTTAAATTTTTGAATTTTATTGCAAATTTTGCAACGTAGGGGGATTTTACTTGTCAAGGTATTCATGCAAAAAGCAATATGCTTGGATACCGTTTAATTGTTAGTTTGACAAAGCC